CGCAGCACGCTCTTTCAGATTGGGCCGTCTGGAATGCTTTTCACTATTAGAAAGCCGCTGGAGCTATGTGCTTTTAAATGATCTCGATTGAAAACTCGTTTCTTCAGAACTGCTTTTTGTGTTTAGATTGTTGTCTTTCCCCCGCATTTCTGATTAGCACGGTTGGCTACATACGGTGCGAAAGAAATTCTACATACATACATGTATTGTACCTGTAAGAGGTTACGCACGCACAGCGTCCTTGTGACTGATTAGACGTTCTCACATTGCTGCATCGCTTGCCTGATTTTCCTGCTCTGTATCTGGCCTTGTCCATGCTCATTCTTCCCTTTCTAGGGCACACCGGAGGTGAAGGAGCACTTCATGGACTCGAAGAAAGATGTGGACCGGCAGCTCAAGGCCACGTGCGAGCAGTTCATCCAGCAGCAGAGCAGCCAGCTCGTGGGGCCGCTCAAAGACCTCGTAGCCAAGGTGAGTGGGTCGTGCACAGCCGGGGATTCATGACCCTCTGATTAGCGCCGGGATGTTTGCGCGACACAGAAAGGCCACGGCCCGAAATGTTGCCCGTTTATATATTTTTACATTTGAAGGCCGCACACAGCGTTATCTATTGCGTGGAGTTTTCTTGTAGTTTGTTATTTGTGCGCGACTGCAAATGGCAGTATCACCAAATACGTCACGCGGTAGCAACTGTGTTCAAGAAGCAAACGAATGAGTCTCGCAGGACCCTCTTTGAAAAGATTCCAGGAGGTTCTTGTTCGGGATGTTTTGGCTGTTTGTACATGTGGGATTAAACCAGAGTATTGAGATGAAAACCCGCGTGTGCGAGACTGTGATTACTCTGACATCTCTGTCCGGGTCAGACGCCGCGTGGTTGTACTGCCACCTCGTAGCCTTGCTACTTGTGAGTTTCATTCCCATTGTGACCGCTGCGTGAGCCATCAGTGTGGACTACTTGAGTTGTGCCCCTAGGAGGTCACAATTCTCGTCAGATTTAGATTGTACAGCGCGTAATATATGCAGCTGCATCAAACAGTCCGTAGCCAACCGTGCTAATGAGAGGTGCGCGTGTGTGAGCAGGTGGCCGCCCTGAAGGCCATGGCGAGCCAGGGAGGACCCAAATACTCGTTGCACCAACAGCCCTGGGCTAAGCCCGGTGAGACCGCCAGACCCACAGGAGCAGCCTCTGCAACGCGTTCACCCGCAACCCCGGCGCCTGTCGCGGCACGCGAAAGTGTCCGTCCAGAACTCGCGCACCGAGCATTGACACCGCACGGCGGCATGGAAAAACCCCACAAGATGTTAATTAGGATAATAATCACTGAGTGCCTTTGCTAATCGTACCGGACACTGTCTGAAATAGTTTCACAGCAGGGGGCAATGTTGCTGTGTGTAATCCCATTGAGTAATTTTCTGGTTATTTCTTTAGAAATTTGGCATATTTGGACTGCAACGATGGCACACAACGGCCTCCACTTTTCAAATTACATCACAGGATCTCTAATGTCCACAGTGAGGCGAATGGCGCGTGTCATTTAAAGCTAAAATTAAACAATTTTTATTTACCAGGTAAGGCCCACTGAGCTATGTAGCTCTTTTTCACAAGCGACCTGGCCACAAATGATAGCTCAACGACGAGGCTTACAGCAGCCAAATACTCTAAACGCGTGTTTCTAAATGTGGAGGGGAAACCACAGGGAGAACATGCAAACACCATATTATACAGCAGGCGTCAGGGTCAAGGTCGAACCCACAACCTCCTGCATGCCAGGCGAGGGAGTTAACATATTGCCACCGCAGCGCCCCTAGCTAACATAGAAGAAACTGACCAAAAGGCATATTTCAACGTGTCAACGTGTTCTTTTTCGTCCCACATCCCCGTGTGTCAACTTGTCTCCTGTGCCCCCGTCCCTGCATCCCCCGTGTCTCTGTGTCTCCCTACATCCATGTCCCTATGTCCCCTGTCCCCCCCCTCTCCCTGTCTCCACGTCACCACCGTGTCCCCGTGTCTCAGAGAAGATTCAGGAGGTGGTGTCGTCCTCGTACCGTGCGCTCAAGAGCCGCGTGCCCAGCGTCCAGCGCAGCATGGCGCTGTACCTGGCCAATGGCGACACGGAGGCCATCCTCTTCAAGCCCATCAAGGTGCGAGCCCGGGAGCGCGGTGGCTCAGGGGGGAGAGGGTTGGGAACAGATTCATGGGGCTCCATGCTTGTTGAGGTCACCGTCGTGAGCAGGCTTCCTGTTAGGCCCACACAGATTTGCTCCTTCGCGATTCACTCCGTCGTCGTCACGAGGCAGGATCCACGAGTCGATTGAAAAATGAATTCCTGTATTGGTGTTGGTTCAAGTTTATTTTGTTGAAACTAGGCAAGAACTCGCAAAGAGAGAGCAGGATAGATCCTCATTTATCAAGAGCTATACGTGTCACCAAAATCGCAAAAGCAAACCGAATCAAATAAAGTACAGCAATCAATCAAATACAAATCGGAACAAAAAACAACTGCGTCACGTGAGAAATTAAAAATATTGCACGAACATAAATCAATGTTACGTATGTTCCCTGAGGTGTAAGTCAGCTCGGGCGGATTATTTTCAGACAGATCATAATATGATTACAATCAATTTACAGAAACATTAAACATATATAGGGGGTGACTTGTAGTCACTCGGACCTCACGCTCAATGTCAGACATCACAAGCGGCAGTGGCGTTTATGCCACGAGGCATTCCTGGATAAAGCCACAGCACCCGAGTTGTGTTGGTGCACTATTTTCAATACCTCGCGTGGCGCAGTTGTTTTGCCCCGATTTCTAATCGCTTCGTTGCCATGCTTTATTCCATCCACGTTGCCTTCTGCTATTTTTTTGGGCGACAGCCCAGACCACTCTTGCAAATGAGGCTCTGTCCTGGCCCTCTGTTTCAATGAAAACCATCCTCTCTGTGGATGTCGCCTCCCCGCAGAACAACGTGCAGCAGGCGTTTGAGCACCTGCAGGCCGTGCTTGCCGAGGACTTCTCGGAGGAGGACCTCCAGATCATCGCCTGCCCCTCACCCGAGCAGGTGGGTGGTGGGAGCTGTCCGTGCTGCGGCTTCCGACTGTGCACGTCTGTGAACAAAGAGCCTTGTAGCTCATCGGATTCCTCCAGTATAAATTCGGTCTCCGCGCCCGTACCCGCCCGTTGGGGGAAGGTCCACATTGCGTGCTCGCATGTTGTTCCCTTGGGCAGTTGAACGCGTGTAGGCTTTCGCGACCAATGTTATCCGGAATAAAGTTTTTGGTTTTGTTGGGGTTAGATCGCGTAAATGTTAAAGCTGGTTGTAATCGCCAGCGAAACGTCACGGTACTTGAATTGTAAACGTTGCGGGTTTTCTCTCCAACACAGAACCGGAGTGCTGAAGTAAATAACTCATTGGCACATTCTGTTTCCGTGACAAACCTTAATAATTGGCTGTCGGGTGGTGGCGGCGTTGACACGTTTATATCTACGCGGTCTCTTGGGCAGTCTGCATAGCATCACCGATGACTTCCCACGAGTGTGGTGCTTATTTCATTCACCACGGCGGGAAGAAAAACTGAAATAACTTTATTAGTACACCACACCGAGGCTCCCGCAAGGCCATGTGGGATGGGGAGGGCGCGTGGCGCAGTTTGGCACCAGCTATCATAGAGTGCGGTCGTGTCGCTACGGTTCTCTGCGGTGAGTACAATGTCTTAAAAAACAACGGCGCTACGCCCCTCTAAATAAAATGAGCGTGAACTGCTTGCGCGTTCCGAGATTTGTGGATCTTGTGGTGACCATCATGTGCTGAGGGATACCCCTCCCAAACGTCGCCTGGCACGGTCGCTCTGTACCCACCCTTGGGTGTCGCTTTTACTGATCACCGGCCGGGTGGCTCAGCCGTAGAGCAAGTGGCTCACATCCTGGATGGGTTATGACTCAGCCCATCATCCCTCCAGGGTCAATAAAATAAGTACCACTTCGTGGTGAGCAGTTGGACAAAGCGTTCACACACTCTTATCACTGATATTGTTATGTATGTATGTTGAACTTCTTTCGCACCGTACGTGGCCAACTGTGCTTATCGGAGGTTACTTGCATTTACTGCTTTTCATGTTTTGTATTTCCTATGTATTTCTGCTTCTTACTGAATTTTCACGCAGATTGTTCACGATTTACATTTTCATTTAACATTTCTGCAGAGCACTTTGATGCGATCCTTTCATTAGCGGCACTGCACGGCAGCGTAAAGATCGATTGGCCGATCGTTGCCCTGCTCTGCGTTGCAGGTGAACCTGCTGCTGGTGCTGACGAAGTAGCGCAAGCTCCTCGCGAGGGGGCAGCAGTAGCCTGGTGCATTCTGGGAGTCGCGTCTTTCTTCGCTGGGGATCATGAGGTCAAGAGGTCGCAAGACAATGTGGGAACAGGCCCTGAGCAGCAAGGACTTCTTTCAGAAGAGAACCCACCGGTGTCATGGATTCACAGGCCCTTGCCAAAGTGTCCCATAATGCCTCTGTTTATTGCACAGGTCACACAAACCTACAATTCCGCTTTGTTATCGTCTCTCTTTTTGGGGGTGTTTGGTTGCTCTTACGGCGGCAATTCCTAAATGCCACGTGCTAGGCATGGTGGGGTAGACCTGTAAACTTGGCTCTTTGTGAGAGGTGGGTGAGGTGGATCGCACAGAGATCATCACGTTAATTATACTCCCAGCCTGCTTAGCTGTGAGGTGGTCAGTACAGCAAGCGGGTTTAAAACAATAATTGGTAAATTGGTCAAACATCACAATGCAGTTCCCACCCGAGTCGTTAGACTTGGTGAAGCTCTGTTGGATAAATAATAAAGATATTTTGTTATTGTTATTACTGTGTGATGCCTTCCTTGATGGTAGTCCTTGTATGACCGTCCATGAGTGTTTTTGGTGCATCTGAATCAGAATATTTATTTATTCTGGAGGAATCCAATGAGCTTTGAAGCTATTTTTCACAATCGGATCCCATGACGTTTTGCTTGAAACTACACCAAGCATCATTAAGGACAGATCCAGGAAGTCGATAACCACCTGACACGCGTGAGCCTCACAGGAACAACCAATCAGATTTAAGCTCGACACTACACCACTGCAACCGATTCGTCGATCGTCATTGCTGGAATAAAGAGCCGTAGTTCGTGTCAGTTCCCCATTGCAGATGCATTCGTGACGTACGTCTGTTGAAGCGGGCTCTTGGCTTTTTATCAAGATGCCCCGTTTGAGTGTCAAGAGTCTGGGACTTGGTTGCAGGTGCATTTCGGACATTTGGCGTGCACTTAGAGCCGATCGCGATTGCCGGCTGATGTGCAGGATGGGCAGCAGCGTGTCGGCGCAGGGGCAACACCCGCGTTTCACCTCCAGAGGCTCCTGGGTTCAACCCCCAACTCGGGTGCCTGTGCGGGGGTTGTGTGTTCTCCCCCCTGTGCTGCATCGGTTTCCTCCGGGTTCTCGGCTTTTCTCCCATAGCCAAGACGAACTTGACATTGCATCGGCCAAAACATCTCAATTCAGAAAAATTGCCTGAAAAATTACTCAAATGGAATTACACAGCAGCAACATCGCCCCAAACACTGGGAGAATTTGGCAGGATCCCTCCTGAAAATAGAGACTCTGTGAGGCGTTCCGTGGGAGAACAATGCGTAGAGTAAATGTTCTGTCTTAGCGATGGGGGGGGGGCGTCCGTGGGCCGGCACGGCTTGGGTCTTCTCTCCAGGGACGTGGAAACGCAACGCTGCATGAGCCGTGCCACGCGCAAACGCACCGCACTTTATACATTTGACTTCAAAATATTGCATGAATTTCAACCGTCGTCATCACTTCTTACGAACTCTGATGAAAATCAACCAATTTGCATTACAATTTGGATTTATAAAGCATATATATACATATATGCGACTGTGCCTCACCACCCTGTATAGACACCGAGGGGCCATTTATTTCATATAGGCTCTCACCTGAAGACGATTGCTTGTGTTGCGATCAAAACGTCGTGATATTTTTATTATTTTACTATCTACGTGGCTTTACCGAAAGACCCATAGAATATGAATAAGGCTGGAGGGGTGATCCGAAGTTCCTGAGCCTGGAACGGAACAGTGGAGATGGTCTACGGCACGGGTGGCCGGGGGGATCGGCTTCCCTACACCGTGGGGGGCAGCAAAGGAACACGAGTGACCTCCAACAGAGCGAAGGTTCACCACTCGAGGCGTCCGTTGCCGGCGAGGAAGCAAGGCCAGGCGATGTCCATTGCCGTGCGCGTGGCGCCGATCTAAGCCACGCGGCTTGGTCGCTCCGCGTTGGTGTCGCTTGCTCGTCCGGCCCGGCGCAGCCCGCCGAGCGCCGCCCGGATCCTGGCCACGAGGGCCCCCAGCGCCCGCTCGTCGCTCGCCTCCGTGACCGCGGAGGCCGCGGAGTCCGGGCCTCTCTCCGTCGCTTCGCCGCCGCCCGGCTGTGAGAGGGCAGCAGCACGGCGAGTGGTGGAGGGGCACCGAGAGACGACAACTCCGAGTTAGTTTGTTGGCATTCCTCGCACTCTAAAAAATCCTCACGGCAGCGGCTTCTGGCTGGGCCATCGGACGAAGGCGGCCGTCACCGCATCGCGCTGCGCTTTCGGATGCGCTTCTGCGGCCGTCTGGAACGCTCTTCCGATATTAGGAAACCGCTGGAGTTATGCACTTTTAAATCATCATCTAGACTGACAAACTCATTTCTTTAGAGCTACGTTTTGTGTTTAGTTTGTTGTCCTTCCCCCGCACCTCCGATTAGCCACGGTTGGCTTCGTACGGCGCGAAAGAAGTTCCACGTACGTACGTATGTGAGTATGCAACGAACGTAACGACGACGACGACGAATGTCATCACTGACCGGCTGGTAGGCTACGCGGAGACGGACGCTGCGGTTGCGCGCCACGTAGGTCAGCACCGCGTCCTCCCGCGTGAGGAGCCGGACCCGGGGGGCGCGGGCACCGAGCGGCACGTCCACGGGTTGCAGGGGCGGCGCGTGCGCGTGGTGCCCGTGGTGCGCGTGGTGCCCGGCCGCATCCTCCCAGAGCCAGCGCCGCGTCTCCCAGCCCCTCGCGCCGTAGCACCGGCCCCCGCTCGGCGTGACCACCAGCCTGCCTCCCCGCACACAACCACCGGCGCGGACACGCGGCGTGTATCCCGAGCTGTGAGTGAGCTGTGAGTGAGTGAGTTGTATTGTAGGAGAGCCGTGTGTGAGTGAGTGAGCTGAGTGAGCTGTGTTGTAGGAGAGCCGCGTGCGAGTGAGCTGTGTGAGTGAGTGAGCTGTGTTGTAGCAGAGCCGTGTGCGAGTGAGTGAGCTTTGAGTGAGTGAGTTGTATTGTAGCAGAGCCGTGTGTGAGTGAGCTGTGAGTGAGTGAGTTGTATTGTAGGAGAGCCGTGTGTGAGTGAGTGAGCTGTGAGTGAGTGAGCTGTGTTGTAGCAGAGCCGTGTGTGAGTGAGTGAGCTGTGAGTGAGTGAGTTGTATTGTAGGAGAGCCGTGTGTGAGTGAGTGAGCTGTGAGTGAGTGAGCTGTGTTGTAGGAGAGCCGTGTGTGAGTGAGTGAGCTGTGAGTGAGTGAGTTGTATTGTAGGAGAGCCGTGTGTGAGTGAGTGAGCTGTGAGTGAGTGAGCTGTGTTGTAGGAGAGCCGTGTGTGAGTGAGTGAGCTGTGAGTGAGTGAGTTGTATTGTAGGAGAGCCGTGTGTGAGTGAGTGAGCTGTGAGTGAGTGAGCTGTGTTGTAGCAGAGCCGTGTGTGAGTGAGTGAGCTGTGAGTGAGTGAGCTATGTTGTAGGAGAGCCGTGAGTGAGTGAGCTGTGAGTGAGTGAGCTGTGTTGTAGGAGAGCCGTGAGTGAGTGAGCTGTGTGAGCTGTGTGAGCGAGCCGACTCACCGGACGCCCCCCGAGGCTGACACACACACGGCGCCTCCGCCCGCGGCCCCAAGCACGGCGAGGACGCGGCCGCCCTGGGCCCACGCGACCCACACGAGGGGTCCCCCCGGGCCCCGCACGGCCTGCAGCACCACGCGGCCCGCCGGGTCCCTGGCCCCGCAGCGCCAAAGCGGTCAAGGCTCCACGCGAGTAACGCCGCGTGGCGAGGTGGTCACCTCCTCGCCTGGTATGCGAGAGGTCGTGGGCTCGATCCCGCACCTCCGATTCGCGCGGTGCCAAAAGAGTTCAACATCGACACTGACGCCTCTTGCCTATTTGGAGGTTGCATGTTCTCCCCATAGGTTGCGTGGATTTTTCTCCGGATTTTAATACGCATACTTCATTTAGAATAAACACGCCTTTAGAGTATTTGGCTGCTTTCATTGTCCACGTGATAAGACAACTCGTTCAGCTCTCATTGTGATCGCCAGGTCACTTCTGAAATAGGACTAATAACTCAGTGGGCCTTACCTGGTAAAATGAATTTTAAAAAATGCTTTGTGATTTGCTTACCTCAACTCCTATCGTGTTTTTGTATTGTTCGTTGTTTTAACTTTGTGACCTGTGTTCTTCAGGCGCTAGACGCCAATGTGCGTTGAACTTCTTTCGCACCGTACGTAGCCAACCGTGCTAATTGGAGGTGCGGGTGAAGGACAACTCGCTCGGAGATTGTTCACCTCCCGGTGCTCCTCCGCTTGGCCATGACGAGAGGGGATAAGGAGATAGTTTGTTTGTGTAGCTTTGCGATTCCTCCTCCGCTGAAGGAGCGCAGAGCACAGCTGTTCTTTCTGTGTGGTCCATAGTTTGGGCTGAATGGCTGCACTGCCGTGGCTTGTCTACTATCTCTATGGGTCTCTGTGAAAATGTATCTCCATGGGTCTCTATATATCTCCATGGGTCTCTATCTCAATGAGCTTCTATGTATCTCTATGGGTTTGCTACATGGTCCATAGTTTGGTTTGCACGGCCACAATCGCACTGCCGTGGCTCGTCTTACATTTCCCATCGATGAAGGAGATTTGCGCACTGGCCTGGTGATGTTCTGATGGTTCCACCACCAGTGTGTACGACGAGGAGGAAATGTCCAAGCCAGGAGGTGCAATGTTTGCGCCTCGAATGCGGAGTTCATTCTGAACGTCTGCACCCAGGGCCCAGTGAGGCCACTACTCTCCAAATTGAAAACTAATTTTCTTTAGTAATGATTTTTGTGTTTAGTTTGGTGTCCTTCCCCCGCACCTAAAATTAGCACGGTTGGCTACGTACGGTGCGAAAGAAGTTCAACATACATATGAGTGTCCTTGACACCAGGAGCTACCGTGGAGCTGATCTGCCCACTGATCATCGGCTTGTCCTCTGTAAGATGCTGTGGTGGTCTCTGATAAGGCAAGAGATGATGTAAACATGTTGGTGTTCTGGCTGCACGACCCCCACGCGAATCATTCATCTTGGGGAAGGGAGTCACTGCGTTGTTTGTATTCGAGTGGCCTTGTTATGACACTTCACACGATAGCGAGGCAGGGGGGAGGGCCTTTGCTCTAAAGAGCAACCACCTCACTTTGCTTTTTTTTACAGTTGCTTAGCACAGATCCAAAGGGCAAAAACGTAAATCAACCAGGAACAAGCAGCACTGTCAAAGTTGGAATAGATAAGGGTTGGCACGTTTCTAGAATTGGGCAAGGTTACGGGAGCGTTGGGGAAAGAGACACGATGGGAGAGAATTCCAAAGTCGATCAGTGCAAGGCAAGAAGCAGAATTAAGTGTTGTGACCTGCAGTGTGGTGAGAGAGTGAGTGGGTGGGTGAGTGAGTGGGTGGGTGAGTGAGTGGGCGAGTGAGTGGTGGGTCTGTTGTTACGACCTGCAGTGTGGTGAGTGGGTGAGTGAGTGGGTGCGAGAGTGAGTGGGTGAGTGAGTGGGTGAGTGAGTGGGTGAGTGAGTGGGTGAGAGAGTGAGTGGGTGAGTGAGTGGGCGAGTGAGTGGTGGGTCTGTTGTTACGACCTGTAGTGTGGTAAATGGGTGAGTGGGTGAGTGAGTGGGCGAGTGAGTGAGTGGTGGGTCTGTTACGACTTGCAGTGTGGTGAATGGGTGAGTGGGTGAGAGAGTGAGTGAGTGGGTGAGTGAGTGGATAAGTGAGTAGTGGGTCTGTTGTTACGACCTGCAGTGTGGTGAGTGGGTGAGTGAGTGGGTGAGAGAGTGAGTGAGTGGGTGAGTGAGTGAGCGAGTGAGTGGTGGGTCTGTTGTTACGACCTGCAGTGTGGTGGTTGAAAGCAGTGAGGTGAAACGGTCAGTGGCTGGTGGACCGAGTCCAAACATGGGTGGAGGAAGCAACGAGTGAAGTTCACAGGAACAGTAAAATATGGCGGTAGTAGAAGTAGCGATAAGAGAGTGATAAAGGGGGTGGCTGGGTGAATCGGTGAGCACTGGATCATCATTCACCCGGAATGCTGCGTTGTTCCGAAGCCTCTCGTGTACAAATGCACCTTGATGGCTATCCGCGCTCTGCGGGCTTCAGAAGGATACAGCACTTGCCCTGTCCCGTCTGCAAAAAAGGTCGAAAACTTGCGTCCGCCTTCATAGAAGCGCTCCACGACGTCTCCGCGCTGCGCACAGACGTCGCCGGGGATGAGCGGTCCCTACGGAGGAGTCATCGCAGACAGAAGCGGGAGGGTCCCCACGAGGGCCCGACGTGCATCGTCCCTGATGCCGTCCAACCTGTGGCCATACTTAAACTCAAACGGTTTGTTGTTATTTTATTTTGCCAGGTGATGCCCACTGAGCTACGTAGCTCTTTTGCAGAAGTGACCTGGCCACAAATGATAGCTCAACGAAGTGGCTTATCATCACGTGGAAAAATGTATAGCAGCCCAATCCTCTAAATGCGGAGAGAAAAATCTGTATGACCACGGGGAGAGAGAGACATGCGAACTTCAAATGTAAAGCAGCAGGCGTCAGGGTCAGGATCGAACCCACGCACTCCTGTACACCAGGCGAGGTAGTTAACATCTCCTAGCCACCGTGATGAGGATGAAAGAGAGACACGCAAACTCCAAATATACAGCAGCAGGCGTCAGGGTCAAGATCGAACCCATGCCCTCCTGTACGCCAGGCGAGGTAGTCAACATCTCCACGCCACCGTGATGATGATGAAAGAGAGAGACACGCAAATTCCAAATATACAGCAGCAGGCGTCAGGGTCATGATCGAACCCATACCCCCTGTACACCAGGCGAGATAGTCAACATCTCTTAGCCCAAGTTACTCCTCTGCACTCTCAGCAAACCCAGAGGGAATGCCCCATGGCGCCGTACCCGTGCGTGTGGCCGGGCCCCGGGCTGCCGTGCGGCGGCGGCGTGCGGCTCCGCGGGGTGGGCGGGCAGCGCGAACGAGAGGGTGCGGTGCAGCTCTGCGGAGAAACCACCCGGCACACACCCCCCAGGGTGACATCACGAGGACCCCCGCATGTTGTGGAGCGCTGCGCCACGTGGTTCAGACGCGCCCGTGGTCGTTGATGAAAACTCGGGAACACAAAACTGAAAATTGCGCGGAGAGAGGGAATTACTTTGTGAACGCGTACGTTGAACTTATTTCGTGCCGTACGTAGCCATCCGTGAGCAACGGAGGTGCGGGATTACTTTTGGATACATTGGAATGCACGGATCGGAGAATATGTGCACGCAAACAACATAACGTCTAAACTATTGAGAACATCGAGTGGGGCTGGGGCAGGAGCCGTCACGTCCTCACGGCCAGGGCCCTACCGTCCTGTCGCTCCAGAATCCGCGCCACGATGCGATCCCTCCGCCTGCAGCACGGAGAGAGGAGGGCGTCTGGGTGACACCGCCTGCTACGCGACTAACACCGCACCATATCGCACCACCATCGCACCCCACCGCACCACATCGCACCGCTCCACGCCGCTCCACACCGCACCTCATCGCACCCCACCGCTCCACGCCGCACCACATCGCACAACCATTACACCCCACCACACACCACATCGCACCGCACCACGCCGCACCGTTAGCGCACCACGAGCGCACAGTCATGCCGTGCGTTCCCGTTCAGAGACCACGATTCCCCTCGGTGGGGGGGGGGGGGGCGGAATTTCCAGGCAATCGTTGCCAACAACTGCCGCCGGCAACACGTGGAGCTACCAAACAGGACTTGGCGCGCGACAGAATGGAGCGACGTTGAAACGAAAAGTGAATAATTGGTGTGCGGGGCACAGGGTTCGAGCCGCCGCTTTAACTGACACTTGATGAGTGTTTACGAGAGGTCTCGCAAGAGTCGTACAAATTGCATTTACGTATTTGTAGGGAAATTACAATCCAAAACATACAATGTTAACTCGTATCGAACTAACATCCCAATGCTGAAACATTACGCTGCAAATTGCTCAACTGGGATCGCGCACAGCAGCAACATCGCCCGGCAATGCGAAAACCTGGCAGGACCCTCTTTAAAACGAGTCTTGAGACTCACGAGTGGAGGGACAGGAACGGCGCGTGTCGTCTCTTACTCCTGGACGAGGACTGCGCGATTGGAACCTTCCGCATCCTCGTCGTGCCATGGAGCCCGCACCTCGTGACCCCACGCCTCTCGCGCCGTCTCCCAAAGCGCCTGGCAGCAGAACCACTGCACAGAGACATGGGGAGAGTGGAACCGCTCTGTGGAATTCCGCGGTTCGTATTTTGGAGTTCATAGCAGCATAATCTTTGGTTCTTTCGGTAAAGTCACGTCGGTGAAAAATAAAATAATAAAATAACTAAAATAGAAAATAGAAATAAATCACGACGTTTCGATTGCAACACAAGCAATCATCATCAGGTGTGACAACCACAGCAATAAAAAAATTTGTGGTTGTCACACCTGATGATGATTGCTTGTGTTGTAATCGAAACGTCGTGATTTATTTCTATTTTTTATTTTTTTTGTTTATTTTTTTCACCTACGTGACTTTACCGTAAGAGCAAAAGAGTATGGATCCTTGCAGTCACGAAACTTTCAATTCATAGCAGCAGTCGGACACGGGAGAGGAAGAGTCTCCGATTCTGCGCGTTCGAGGCATGGCGTGCCCACCGTTTCTCCCTTGGTGTGCGTGCCGGCCCGACAAAGCGCTGCTGGCCCCAATCGCTCCGTGGGAGGTGGGAGATTGGCGGCGGCGTCACGGGGGTCACCTGGCAAGTCTCGGTCGTGGGGGGGGGGTCACCTGGCAAGTCTCGGTCGTGGGGGGGAGGGTCACCTGGCAAGCCTCGGTCGTGGGGGGGGGAGGGTCACCTGGCAAGTCTCGGGCGTCTCCCGTCCAAAAGCAACGAAGCTCAGCCCCGCTGACTATCCAAGATCTCACGATGGTATGGGGGCGCACTTTAGTAATTTTGCCCCGAGGCGTTCGTCATGAAAAACTTTAATGAGGTAAATGAGCGTGCTTCGAGGGACGGGTGGGGACTGTACAAACATTCCAGAGGAGATTTTAATTCTGTAATGAGAACTTGAAACTGGCATAAACACACACACACACTGCGCAAATACAAACAACCTTGTGGGCCAAATGGCAGCCAGCTGGGCCTGTGTTTACCGACAGATGCAATTCGTTTCTCTCTTTATATTTGCATTTTTATTCACCTGCGCGCGTGTGTGTACTAGTTTGTGAATTAATCTGTCTCTGTGCATATATGTATAGGGAGGGCTGCAGTGGCGAGATGTTAACTGCCTCGCTAGGTATACAGGAGGTCGTGGGTTCGATCCCGACCCTGACGCCTGCTGTTTATTTAGAGTCTGCGTGTCTCTCTCCCCGTGGTCGCTTGGGTTTTTCTCCCGGTCCTCGGTTTTTTCCTCCACATTTAGAGTCAACATCACCACACGTTTATAGTATGTGGCTGCTATACATTTCCACGTGATAAGCCACTTCGCTGAGCTATAACTTGTGACGGGTCGCTTCTGAAAAAGAGCTACACAGCTCAGTGAGGCTTACCTCGTAGAGAAAGTAAATAAACCGGTAGCATTCTGCGCTATGAACGAGGCAACCCGAGTTCTATTTCGCTCACGGCCAACACGGGTGACGATTATCTGAACCGGTCTTGGGCCTCCCCTAGGTCGACTCAGCATCAAACGATTACCTGGTGCTGCGTGTCGTAAACATCGCCACTGGGGAGACAAAGGCGGCCGGGTGTGGTGCTGACCACCCACCCCTCGGCACTTGCCCCAACAGTCCGTCAAGGCCATGCGGGGGATCTTAGTCTCTTGTGTTTGTGCGCGCGTGCCGAGACTTGGCACCCTGCCGCTCACCGTGCGATCAGGAGGGCCGCCGGCGGCCACGTGAAGCAGCCACTCGCTGGGGCGGCCGCAGGAGCGGCACGAAGTCGCCACGTCCTGGGGCACACGACAAGCAGACGAAGACCCCCCCCCCCGTGAGACGCGGGGGGAGGGGGGCTGTTGGGAAAAGTGCCGAGAGCGAGTATCGAGTAGCACCCCTACAGAGGCGGGTGGTGCGGCCAGGGACCACGCCCGGCCGCCTTTGTCTCCCACGTCGCGATGTTTTCCGCACCACGCCAGGTATTGATTTTAGGCTGAGTCGACCTAGAAGAAGCCCAGTACCGGTTCAAATATTCGCCACTGTTATTGGTCGTGAGAGGTAATCGAGCTCGGGTCGTTGGCTACGTAAGGTGCGAAAGAAGTTCAACATATGTACGTAGGTCGGGTTCGTAGCGCAGCGCGCTAACTACTGCGCCGCCGCTCCCACACACGCACACACAGAAATGTAGATGCACATGCAGCTTGATTCGAGTACACGGAGGCACAGAGACGAACACACACACAACACAAACAACAAATCAACACGTTGGTTTTTTTAGCAGTCAACTTGGTGATTGTGAATTGAGTATTGGTAGATCGCGTCGCGATCGGAGTTTTAGAACAATAACACAATCATGAATCAAAAACAGCAGCCGCCAATCGCCACCAAGTGGCAGTGATGTCAACTTAGCACTGGTGCCAGGCTAGGTGCACTCTGAGGCCCACATGAAGTTTGTCATAGGCCCGCTGCTGGCAGGAAGTCATGGGATAGACCCCAAGGTGGTTTTGGGTTGATCGAGGCGACTGGGCGCCCCAATGTTGACACCTCGCTGAGTTTTATACGCCCGGCGCTCCACTCGTTGTTGTGAGCGTCACTCCTCATTGTTGCAGGGGGGGGTATCGCCTCCCAACTGTCCCACAGCAGCGTCCTTTTCAGTTTCATTTATTAGGTATAACCCTGTGAGCCATATGCGGCTCTTAACTCGATTGCTCTTTTATTTGGAAGTAGACTTTTATTTACGGAGAGGGAAAAAAAGATTTAAAAAAGACGCAAAATATCCCGATGATGGTCCCTCTCGAAAAATCGTCGAGACTTATTTGCCGATGCGTTCCTGGCTGACCGCTGCTGACACTGAAAGGCGGTGTGTGGTCCCACCCCACCGCCACTGAGACCCGACAAACATAGTTATTTGATTGATATTTACCAGACAAAATACCTTGAACTATTGTATTATTAATCTGGGGTCCCTGTTTAAATTTCGTGGAATAATGGGAGCTTACCACAACCCTCTGGGGAAGCTTCTAGAGTCGGCCTCTGTTTGAGGGTTGTTATTACTTCGTATTATTACTTTGCCGCAATGTATGTGTTTGTACAGCGTTGCTTTATTTACTAAATATTCATGCTTTTTTAACCCAGTACAAATCTCCGTGAGTCTCCAGACTCGTGTTTTGGGGTCTTTCGGTAAAGTCACGTAGATAGGTTCAATTTTGTTTACAAAAAACTACGACGTTTCGATCGCAACACAAGCGATCGTCACCTGATGACGACGCTGGTGTTGCTATCGAAACGTCGTAGTTTTTGGTATTATTTTTTAAACCTATCTACGTGACTTTACCGAACGACCCAAAGAATCTGAATTCCTGCAGTCACGAAAGTTTTAAGTCAAGATTTAGTCTCAAGACTTGTTTTCAGGAGGCTCCTGCCAGCTTGTCACGGTAGGGGGAGGGCGATGTTGCTGGTGTGCGCGCGATCCCAATTGAGACATTTGCAGCGGCTTTTTTTGTTCAGCATTGAGATGTTTGGCCAACCACAAGTTGCGTGGTTTCGTTTCAGCCATGGGAGGACATAGGAGAACCTGGAGGGAACCCATGGGGGACAAACAGGGGGCGAGAGCACACAGACTCCCACTGCGCTGTCGTGGATGATCACATCCGAGGCTTGGCCGATGATGACGGCTCGATGCAGCGGCCAACTCGCGTGACCCAAGACCACTTTGTCCGTGGGCAGCGCGTTGGTTAATCCCGCACAGCAAGTCACAGGGAGCTTATGTGGAGACCCGATTGTCGACTCAGTGGGAGCTTTCACTTGCAAATGTTACAGGGAAGTTTGACCAACACAAGGGGGGTCCCTGTTACCCGCACAGCGACGGGACTATGCAGCGCTATGGGAAGCAAACTGCAGGTTATTTGTGACTGATGTCTAACTCGGCCTCCGCATGCGTCTGTGTGTGTAGGTCATGTGTGAGTGTGTGCGCGTGTGTGTGTGTGTGCGCGTGTTTGTTTGTGTGCCAGCGATGAGTCACTGCAAAGGAAAATTCCACGGTTAAACATTAAACGAGCAGTGGCTGTCAGAGTGCAGTGATTGTCGTGTTGTGGTTCGTAGGCAAATCAGGGTTTGTGGTCTAGACTCGAGGTCAAGAACGATGATCGAGGGGGACAGCCTGCGTCATCGATAGACCGTGGACAACACCGCACGTCACAGCAGGCGCGCGATTAAAATGTTCACGGTGACAAAAACGTCTCCTTGGACAGGCGTCCCTCGCTAGAGATATGGCACCGTAATTCATCCTCACTCTGAAATTGATTGGGGTGTGCGTTAAGGCACACACGCGCACACGATTGTGGCCAGTTAGAAGTTGAGCTCAGTGGTGGCAGCGAACAAGACTACCAAGCAGATAATGTTGCTTACTTTCCGCATCTGTCCCTCGACTTAATAAAAGTATAAATACGCATGCCATCATCCGCACTCCGATTAGCACGGTCGGCTACGTACGGTGCGAAAGAAGTTCAGCATACATACATAAATACAACCACGCGGCCTTCTGGGGGTGCATCACTTCAGCGAGCCTGACTGCTGATGAGACATTGCAATGCCAAAACGGGACCAGAGTTTGGCATTGTGCTGCACAAATCAAGAACCTCTGCCAAGAGCGGCGATCGTGCCACCGCTGAAACCGCGTCGCCACTACCGCTGGTGGCACGACACGAGTGTGGTGCCACCACGAGTGTGGTGGCACCGCTGGAGCAGCGTCACCGCCCCATGCGTCTCCATCGTGGACACCCCACGCTGGCAGCAAGCGCGGAGTGGGGCAGCAAACTCGCCTCCTGTGAGCGAAGTTCTCCCTCCCGCCGCCTGGCCCCGTCACAGACGTCGCGGTCGCAGGGAGCGGCCTCGCTCGGCACGTCCGGGCTCTGCTCGGCCACCGGGGCCCCGGCTGCTTCAGCCTCCTGCTTCTCCTCCTCCTCCGACTCCTCCGACTCTCGGATGTCCAGAAGGTTCTCCATGAAGCCCCTCCAGGTGCCACCCTGGGAGGCGACGCAGAGGCACGCGGAGCTCAGCGTCGTCCTAGGCAGCCTTTGTCAATCCACAAGCTGCTTCTTGATTGAAAACTCTATTTTTTTGAAGTGATTTTAGTTTGTTGTCCTTCCCCCTGCACCTGCGATTGGCACGCTGGGCTACCTACGGTGCGAAAGAAGTTGAAGGCACATGCAGTGCACACATCTCGCGGTGCTGTCAGGGTCCACCTGGCACCTGCACACCACCTGAGTTCCTCATTCCATCTCCACGGCGGACGTAAACCTCAGACGTGCTCCGTTCCTTGGCCGCCCGTCATTATTCTTGATCGCCACGTGGATTAAAAACCGTTTAGTTCTCTTAGGAGCCGTCCATAAATGACGTCACGCGATTTTGGACGATTTTTGACCCCCCCCCCCCTTCGTCACACGGCGTCACAAAAAGTCAGACCCCCTCAAATATGACGTCACAAAGCTCTGCCCCCCCCCCCCAAAAAAAAATATAAAACGTGCTTCAAATCGTTTTAAACTATTGTCATTGTAGTGCGTATTTAATGTGGCGCTGCACTCTGATGTTGTAGGAGAAAACATTTATTAAAACGTCTATTTTATTAAGTAGAACGTGTTGTCTATATTTATTAAAAGTTGCGCATATTGATGTGACGTCACATTTCTCAACCCCCCCCCCCTCGTCACACATCGTCACAAATGTCTGACCGCCCCCCCTTAGGTGCGTGACGTCATTTATGGACGGCCCCTTTCTGCGTGGAGCCTTGTATGTTTGTATGCTCTCCCTCTCTCTCTCCCCGTGGGTTTACTCTGGGCTCTCAGGTTTCCTCCCGCAGCTAAAACACACAACGCAACTGATATTGGCCAAATATACCAGCGCTGAAATATGACCCGCAAATGACTCATTTGGGATCGCACACACAGCAACAACATCGCGTCCCTATAACAAAACAGAAAAAAACTTTGGCAGGACCCTCCTGAAAAAGGGGTCTTGAGACTCTTTAGGGCAAACAAGCGTTAGTAGTATTAGTAACACTAATAACAACTTAACAGTGAAGACATGAGTCAGAGACACGAGAGAGAGAGGGAGGAGGATGAAGTTGATCCCAGCTTGTCGCGAGCCGTGAGCGATCGTCCGCTCCTGTCAAGCACGCCAGAAGAACCGGTAACCCGCTCCCACGAACCGGTTTACCCGATCCCAGCGGCATGCCGGCAATGAACGCAGACGCGATTGGCACGGCGGGAAGATACAAACCGCACGGCGGGGCAAGTCACCGCACGGTTCACTCGCCCTGGTTCCTCCTCAAGCTCACGGCTCACCACTCTCACCGGTCACGGCTCACGGCTCTCACCACTCTCACCACTCACGGCTCTCACGGCTCAACGCTCACCGCGCTCACCATTCTCACCACTCACCGCGCTCACCACTCTCATCGCTCACCACTCACCGCGCTCACCACTCACCGCGCTCACCACTCTCACCACTCACGGCTCTCACGGCTCAACGCTCACCGCGCTCACCATTCTCACCACTCACCGCGCTCACCACTCTCATCGCTCACCACTCACCGCGCTCACCACTCACCGCGCTCACCACTCTCACCACTCACGGCTCTCACGGCTCAACGCTCACCGCGCTCACCATTCTCACCACTCACCGCGCTCACCACTCTCATCGCTCACCACTCACCGCGCTCACCACTCACCGCGCTCACCACTCTCACCACTCACGGCTCTCACGGCTCAACGCTCACCGCGCTCACCATTCTCACCACTCACCGCGCTCACCACTCTCATCGCTCACCACTCACCGCGCTCACCACTCTCATCGCTCACCACTCTCATCGCTCACCACTCACCGCGCTCACCACTCTCATCGCTCACCACTCTCATCGCTCACCACTCACCGCGCTCACCACTCTCATCGCTCACCACTCACCGCGCTCACCACTCTCATCGCTCACCACTCTCATCGCTCACCACTCACCGCGCTCACCACTCTCATCGCTCACCACTCTCATCGCACACCACTCACCGCGCTCACCACTCTCATCGCTCACCACTCTCATCGCTCACCACTCACGGCGCTCACCGCGGCCAATGTTTGGGTCTCCCGTTGGTTGCCGTTAGCAACAGTGGAGCTGAGCACAGAGCGAGCAGCGGTCACTGTGGTCACGTGCAGGTTTGTGTAGTGTGTAGTGTGTGTAGTGTGTGTGTGTAGTGTGTGTGTGTGGTGTGTGTGTGTGTGGTGTGTGTGTAGTGTGTGTGGTGTGTGGTGTGTGTGGTGTGTGTAGTGTGTGTGTGGTCACGTGCAGGTGTGTGTGGTGTGTGTAGTGTGTGTGTAGTGTGTGTGTAGTGTGTGTAGTGTGTGTGTGTGTGGTGTGTGTAGTGTGTGTGTGGTGTGTATGGGTGGTGTGTGTGTGGTGTGTGTAGTGTGTGTGTGTAGTGTGTGTGTGTGGTGTGTGTGTGTGCTGTGTGTGTGTGGTGTGTGTGGGTGGTGTGTGTGGGTGGTGTGTGTGTGTGGTGTGTGTGTGTGGTGTGTGTGTGTGTGGTGTGTGTGTGGTGTGTGTGTGGTGTGTGTGTGTGTGTGTGTGGGTGGTGTGTGTGTGTGTAGTGTGTGTAGTGTGTGTGTGTAGTGGTGTGTGTGGGGGAGCGGTGGTGTAGCGGTTAGCGCGCTGCGCTATGAACCTGGTGACCCGAGTTCGATTCTAACAGCCAACCCCAGTGACGATTATCTGAACCGGTCCTGGGCCTCCCCTACCCCTAGATCGACTCAGCCTGAAATGAGAACCCAGTGCGGCGTGTAAACGTCGTCACTAGGGAGACAAAGGCGGCCGGGCGTGATGCTGGCCACCCACCCCCTCGTGTGCCACGTGCCGGCCTTCGTAGGTGCTACTCGCCAACAGCACTTGCCCCAGCAGTCTGCTCAGGCTATACGGGGGAGCTTTGTCTTTGTGTGCGTGGAGCAACACTCACAACAACGAGCGGAGCCCCGGGGCCGATAAAACACAGCGAGTCGGCACAGTGGGCGGCATAGCTCAGTCATGTCAGTCATCTCAGTCAAGTCAATCACCTCAATCACCCCAATCACCTCAATCATCTCAGTCAACTCAATCATCTCAGTCAACTCAGTGAGGCAACCCATGGCACCTGGGGTCTGTCCCGTGACCACCTGCCAGCGATCCTTCCGACACTTAAAGTGGCCTTAAAGTACACCTAGCCTGGCACAAGCGCAGCGGTGACGTCACCGCCACTTAGTGGCAATTGCCGGATGTTGTTGTTTATTATTATTATTGTTGTTGCTGTTGTTGTTGTGTGCAGTCTGGGAAACTCTGCCTCGGCGGTCCACAGACCCAAGCCTGGATAGAAACGCGTGACCGGGGGGTTCCTCTGAGTCTTCGGCCGTAAATAAATCAATAAAAGAGACATGACGACACAGAAGACGGTTGGACAACAACAACAGAAACATGAAAAGTGTTGTTGTTGTTGTTGTTCGGAAAAATGGAAAGTCTCGGAAAGAGAGGAAGAGTCGAACAGAGGATGTCGTGACAATGACGACATCGTAAGAGACTGTGTTGCCAGAGAGAAGTGGACACTTCTTGAGCATCTTGGCACCGCAAGACGGAGAGGAGAGTGAAAACAAACGACGGAATTGGAGTGGGCACCGACTCGGGGCCATCTGCCCCACGGATCGTGATGACGATGACGTCTGTGATGGCAAAGGACCCCTGCTAGATGATGCGGGTCCTTCCATCACCGCATCGCCTTCTCTAGCACAGTGGTAAACAAGGGCTGGATCGGCAGTCGAAACAAATATTCATTTTCTTAGGTTTTTTCGGTAAAGTCACGTAGGTAAATAAATTAAATTAAAATTAATAAAAGTAAAATAAAAATAAAATAAAAATCACGACGTTTCGGAGGCAACACAAGCCTCCGTCTTCAGGTGGAACCGTCACAGCACGATAGCTGTATCAAGTAAGAGAAATTCCAAGAAAACAGTCCTTGTATATATACTGGTTGAGGGTGGGAGGAGCCAAGGTAGACCCTGGAAATTATTATTGTGAGGCTTTTTATTTTACTTTTATTAATTTTTATTTTTCACCTACGTGACTTTACCGAAAAAAACCTAAGAATATGAATCATTGCAGTCACGAAAGCTTCAAATCTAGAAATATTCAGATTCTAAATCTGACATTCAGGGCGCCCGCTGTTCGCGTGGCTACCGCTCTGATTGCCTGTAGGAGGCAGCAGAGCCATCCCACTCGGAGGCGTGAGCGTTCTCTACAGGGACTCCTCTACTTACGAACGAGTCAGTTTCCAGAGGTCTTGTTCGTAAGTCGAATTGTTCGTAAGTCCAACTTTACTACTGTCGATTCCAAACGTGTTGTACGGCATGTACAGTACTACTATACATTGTATACTACTACATTATATTATACACCACGACACTACATTATATACTACTACACTACTATATACTACTACATTACATTATGTACCACGACACTACATTATATACAACTACATTATATACTACTACAGTACATAGACTCCTCTACTTACGAACGAGTTAGGATCCAGAGGGCTGTTCGTAAGTCGATTTGTTCGTAAGTCCAACTTTACTACTGTCGATTCCAAACGTGTTGTACGTTGAGTACGTTAAACACAGGGAATGGCTTTAAAAGTTGTATAATCGCCTGTAGATGCCACTGGTTCTTCACGTTCTGCAGACGTAGTTGCCACCACCACCGCCATCTATTGCGCCGCGGTTAAGCTTACGACTCGACTTAGGGACAGGTTTGTTCGTATCTCTGAAAGTTCGTAAGTCAAATATTCGTACGTAGAAGAATCCCTGTATTTAAACTGCAGGAGGAATCCAATTATCTATACACTAGTAATAAACTAGTTTCAATATTAATGTGTGTATATTTTGTAATTTAAGCAAAGGTGTCTCTCACCAAGGAGCATAAACCAGCACAAAAAATCCGGTCATCCTCGCAGCAGCAGCAGCGGCTTTTGACTGGCCATCGACAAAGGCGGCGGTCACCGCCTCGCGCGCTTTCAGATGCGCTTCTGCGGCCGTCTGGAACGCTCCTCCGTCCGTTATTCGGAAGCCGCTGGAGCTACGCATTTTAAAATCTAGATTGAAAACTCATTTCTTTAGAACTGCCTTTGTGTTTAGCTTGTTGTCCTTCTCCCGCACCTACGAAGTTCAACACGCACACATCGTCAGCTGCCACCGTGGCGTTACTGGTTGTTATCAGACTGTGTGGCTGGATGTGCAAAATTGTCCACCCCGCCTGTGTCCACCCAGCAGTAGGAATGCGTTCTCTGCAGGTGGTGATTGCTGGGGTAAAGTGTGAGTTCGCCCACCTCTTCCACCACGTCTGGACAGCGTGGAAGAGTAGACCAAACGCCCTCTGGATCTCGCTCCAGTAGTGAAGGCCCTTCCGCATGCAGGCACTGCAGGGCTGCACTTGTAGTGAACCCTTCAACCCACATGTGACTTAGCTTTGGGCCTGCCGCCGTGCGGTCGGTACATTTGGACGCGCATATCGGCAGTAGAGTCGACAGGATAATGCATCAGTTCCGTCTGTACGGGATCGAGTGTTTCCCCCTCGCACGCCTTGGTTTTCTGCAGATGTCCCGGTTTTCTCTCTACGAGAACGAGTGAATACACCTTTTACGAGTTTAAATAATAATAATGATGATCATTATCGATTCTGGGAACGGTTACCGATTCACCGATTACTGTTCGGCAATCGTCAGAGCGAGTGGCCACTGCTGTGTGCGTGCGGTGCTGCGGGCGTCGCTTTATGGCAATGATTGCTCGAGTTAAAGAATAACTAGCGACCCCGTGTCCACAGTGCAACAGCCATCACACCACGCGCACATGACGGCATGCTGCGGAGATTCGCGGTTCCAATCCAGCGTTTGGCTCAGGTTATTACTGCGGTTGTGTTTTTGTAATAAACAAAAATACTACTTTTACCGTGCGTTGTTTGCTTCACTAACAGTGGACGTTAAAGGTCCCGTGAGGTCATTCGCAAGAGTTTAATGCCCTTTTTGTGCCATGTCACGGTCCAAACTTTTGTCAGATTATACCAAGAAATGTACCTGCAAAATGGCTATAGGGTTCACACGCAGCAGCAGCAGCAGCAACATTGCTCCCTGCTGTCGAACTACTGCAGACTGTGTCTGTGACATACATTCGCAAGACGATCGCCTTGTTGTGTAGTTGCAGAGCGCGGGCTCACAGCGCCCAGCGGCCATCAACAAGCAGCACTGCTGAAGCTGTGACACTCCTGAAGAGAGTGGCACCGCTGTTGACGTGAGAGTTTGGCAAAAGAGACGACGGGAGGGGATTCCAGGCGGTGCAGCGCAGGGGAAGACGCAGACGGAGAATCCGAATCTTTATTTAGACTGCAGGGGAATCCGATGAGCTATGAAGCTCTTTCACACAAATGTCCACGAGTGATACGAGGTCAGTGAGTAGCGAGGTGACCTGCAGTGTCGAGGTTGAGCGCAGTGGGGATTGGTGTTGGGGAATGTTGTGTTAGCGAGCACCTGTTATGTCCGACACAGACACACAAGGCGACACCACGCCCGACCCATCCGCCTTTGTCTCCCCACAATGCTCACGTTTAACGCACCGCGCCGGTCATTCATTTGAGACTAAGTCGACCGAGGTGGGAGCAGGGACCAGCAACGGTTCAAATATCCAGGCTCATTAATCTCACGCACAGACATCTCACGCCTGCCAAGTTAACACGAAGTTATCTCCAGGTGCGCGCACACACACACACACACACCACACACCACACACACCACACACACACACACCACACACCACACACACTCACACCACACACACCACACACACACACCACACACCACACACACACCACACACACCACACACACCACACACCACACACACACACCACACACCACACACCACACACACACACCACACACCACAGTCCAAGAGACACACACCACATTACCAGCCAAGTTGCCTTGATGTTTACCGTCAAAGGTAGTAATTGTCATTATGAGCATTCCGTCACCGATCCAAACTTGTGTTTGGGTTAGGCTGCACGGTGGTAGTTTTACGCCAAAATTCGCGTCGTTAACCCTCCACCACCCAACAAGATCGTCACGTTTACATAAATATAATATTTTTGTTACGGATACGTGACCGATGTATTGATCAAATTGTGACCAATGAACCTCCAGCTCTCCGGTGGCTTCGGCCTGTTCAGGACTGAATTCCGCATCACACGCGACGGCCACGTTTCACTCCGGTGGCGGATTTCACCTTCATCGGGTATTACAAACTCGGGAATCACCCCCCCCCCCCCCCCCCGGTTTCCCAGTTCATATCCAAGCTTGGGTAGGCCTTCATCCAGCAGTGGATTGGTCCTGGCTGATGATAACAACCCTGGGCTGTGTGTGTGGGGGGGGGGACAGCCTAGTCACTCGAGATGGTTAGTGACCTCTGATGTTGTCGTGTGGTCCTGGCCATCGTGTCGGGTGAGAACTTGACTCCTGAAGGTTTGCTGGACGCAGTGACCCAACAAGGACTTTTGTTTCAGGCAAGGCATTACAAGTTCAATTTAAGCTAAACTATTTTTCTTTTCTTTTATCTTGTAAGTCCCACTGAGATACACAGCTCTTTTACAAAAGCGACCTTGCTATCGCAAATGATAGCTCAACGAAGTGGCTTATCGTTTCGAAATGTATAGCAGCCAAATACTCTAAACGCGCGTTTCTAAACGAGAAACAGATTTGCCGAACCGCGCAGGTTTTTGCAGCCAATATCGTTAATTATAATATTGATTTGTTCGGCCACGTTGCTTGAGTTAAGTGGCCTAACCCAGAATCTAATTACGAATCAAACAATGGGGGCATTACTAATCGCTTTAGGGGTTATCTGTTGTGGACCGAGCAATGAGCGGGCCCCTGACACCTTCGACGGAACCCGGGTGATGTTCATCCCTCCCATTGGCGTCCGTGAGCTGTCGATGCTCTCAGCTGTTTTTCGGGACGGGGTGAATGGATGCCCTGCGCTGCAGGCTCACGACACGTGGACTGCACGGCGGTGGCGTGCATGGGTACGCACGTTCGTCTGTCGTCGTGCGTGTGTGTAGTAGTAGTGTGTGTGTGTGTAGTCGTGTGTGTGTGTAGTCGTGTGTGTGTGTGTAGTCGCGTGTGTGTGTACTCGTGTGTGTGTGTGTAGTCTTGTGTGTGTGTAGTCATACGTCGACTCAGCCTCAAATGAGTACAGTACCTGGTGAGTCGCGTAAAACATCGCCCCTGGGGAGACAAAGGCGGCCGGGCGTGGTGCTAGCTCCCCACCCCCTCGTGCGCCGTGCCGGCCTTCATAGGTGCTACTCGCAAACAGCACTTGCCCCTACAGTCTGTTCAGGCTACACGGGGCTTCTTTGTCTTTGCAGTCACGCGTGGGGAGCGGTGGTGTAGCGGTTAGCGCGATGCGCTACAAACCCGGTGACGGATTTTCTGAACTTGCCCCGGGCCTCCCCTAGGTCGACTCAGCCTCAAATGAGTACATGATGCGGTGTGTAAACATCGCCACTAGGAAGACAAAGGCGGCCGGGCGTGGTGCTGGCCACCCAACCCCTCGTGTGCCTTTAGCCGGCCTTCATGCTCGGCATTCGCTAACAGCACTTGGTCCACCAGTCGGTGAAGGCTACATGGGGGATCTTTGCCTTTGCATAATGAGGGAACTCCACTGGCATAGACGCGGAGGGGCGGGGGAGTCAGTGAGGGTTGGGGGTGGCTCCTGACGTCCCACGCAGCCCAGAGGCTCTCACCCTCCTCCTGCCCCTCCTGTCCACACTGCGCCGTGAGTCTCCACCTCACCCCTCTCCTCCTCCTGTCCACACTGCGCTGTGAGTCTCCACCTCACCCCTCTCCTCCTCCTGCTCCTATCCACACTGCGCTGTGAGACGCCACCTCACCCCCCACCTCCTCCTCCTGTCCACACTGCGCTGTGAGGCTCCACCTCACCCCCACCTCCTCCTGCTCCTCCTCCACGCCCGAGTGGCGGCGTGGAGACTTCGCGTGCAGGAGCAGCGGCAGCAGCAGCAGCAGGCGTAGGAGGAGGAGGGTCCCTGACGCCGCCTGCCATGGGCTGTCCACACGTGGCGGGGGACAGGGCGAGGATCTCAGCGCTCCGCTCAGCACCTGCACGCGTTCACCTGGGGCCGGCGAGGCCAGTGAGTGTCCACCACCACAGCAGTGATTGCCCACCACAGTGAGTGTCCACCACAGTGAGCGTCCACCACCACCACCACAGTGAGTGTCCACCACAGCAGTAATAGTCCAGCGCAGTTGGAGTGACGTGAAACGTTCTGACCCGCCTCTACCGGACATCTGTGAAAAAAGAGCTTTGCAGCTCATCGGATTCCTCCGAAGAGGCGCCACCAGCACCACCAGCACCACCACCAGCACCACCAGCACCACCACCAGCACCACCACCAGCAGCACCACCAGCAGCAGCACCACCAGCACCACCACCACCAGCACCACCAGCACCACCACCAGCACCACCAGCACCACCACCAGCACCATCAGCACCAGCAGCACCACCACCAACACCAGCACCACCAGCACCACCACCAACACCAGCAGCAGCACCGTCGTTCGCCCTGCTCCTCTCACCGGGAAGATCGATCGGGACACGGGGGATCTCTCCGTGAACCTCGGGCGCCAATGGAGCTCCGCGCCCGGCTGCCCCTGCTGCTGCGCCTGCTGCTGCCCCTGCTGCTGCCCCTGCTGCTGCTGCCGGGGACCCCCACGGCGGCCAGGGCCCCCCAGGCCCCCCCCGACTGCAGATCGGTGCGGCGAGAGTTCTCCCTGCGGGAGGTGGGGCCCGAGAAGTGGGTCCCCGAGAGGGCGCGCGCAGGTGAGGGACGCGGGACGCGCGGTAGTGCCAGCCTCGTGCGGTAGTGCAGCAGTAGTGCGGTAGTGCAGCAGTAGTGCGGTAGTGTCAGCCTCGTGCCGTAGTGCAGCAGTAGTGCGGTAGTGCAGCAGTAGCGTGGTAGTGTCAGCAGTAGTGCGGTAGTGTCAGCCTCGTGCCGTAGTGCAGCAGTAGTGCGGTAGTGCAGCAGTAGTGTGGTAGTGCAGCAGTAGTGTGGTGGTGCAGCACGAGACACGTGCACTACCAGCTGTGCGGTGCGCTACAACAGTCGTGGAGTTCATATTCTTGGTTCTTTCGGTAAAGTCACGTAGGAGAGAAATAATAAAATTATAAAAATAAAACAATAAAATTCTCACGACGTTTCGATTGCAACACGAGCAATCATCATCAGGTTTTCACACCTAATGATAATTGCTTGTGTTGCAATCGAAACGTCGTGAGAATTTTATTGTTTTATTTTTATAATTTTATTATTTCCCTTCTCCGTGACTTTACCGAAAGAACCAAGAATATGAGTCCCTGCAGTCACGGAAGCTTTAAGTCGAAATTAAAGTCGTGGAGTTGTTGACGCTGGGTCCCGGCATCAGGACGTGGACTTTCCCCCGGTGGGAATGGCGTTATTATTGTTGTTGTTATTGTTGTTGTTGTGTTGTGGCACTCGATTCGCGTGTTGTGCAGTTCACGTTTTATTGTGTGACACCTCGACCCTGCCGGTCAGAGGGGTGACGCCGTGGGGTGACACCGTGGGGGTGACACCGTGGGGGTGACGCCGTGGGGGTGACGCCGTGGGGGTGACACCGTGGGGGGGTGACACCTGGGGGTGACACCGGGGGGTGACACCGTGGGGGTGACACCGTGGGGGGGGTGACACCGGGGGGTGACGCCGTGGGGGTGACACCGTGGGGTGACACCGTGGGGGTGACGCCGTGGGGGTGACACCGTGGGGGGGGTGACACCGGGGGGTGACACCGTGGGGTGACACCGTGGGGGTGACACCGTGGGGGGGTGACACCGTGGGGGTGACGCCGTGGGGGTGACGCCGTGGGGGTGACACCGTGGGGGGGTGACACCGGGGGGTGACACCGTGGGGTGACACCGTGGGGGTGACACCGTGGGGGGGGTGACACCGGGGGGTGATGCCGTGGGGGTGACACCGTGGGGTGACGCCGTGGGGGTGACACCGTGGGGGTGACACGAGGGGGGTGACACCAGGGGGTGACACCGTGGGAGTGACACCGGGGGGGGTGACACCGTGGGGGTGACACCGTGGGGGTGACACGGGGGGGGGGTGACACCAGGGGGGGTGACACCGGGGGGTGACACCGTGGGGGTGACACCGGGGGGGGTGACACCGTGGGGGTGACACCGGGGGGAGTGACACCGTGGGGGTGACACGGGGGGGGTGACACCGGGGGGTGACACCGTGGGGGTGACACCGGGGGGGGTGACACCGTGGGGGTGACACCGTGGGGGTGACACGGGGGGGGGGGGTGACACCAGGGGGGGTGACACCGGGGGGTGACACCGTGGGGGTGACACCGGGGGGGGTGACACCGTGGGGGTGGGGAGTGAGGTGAGTGGCGTGGGAAGTGAGGTGAGTGAGGTGAGTGGGTGAGGTGGGTGAGGTGGATGAGGTGAGGAATGAGGTGGGTGAGGTGGGTGAGGTGAGAGGGGTGGGTGAGGAATGAGGTGGGTGAGGTGAGTGGGTGAGGTGGGTGAGGTGAGGAATGAGGTGGGTGAGGTGAGAGGGGTGGGTGAGGTGAGTGAGGTGAGTGGGTGAGGTGGGTGAGGTGGATGAGGTGAGGAATGAGGTGGGTGAGGTGGGTGAGGTGAGAGGGGTGGGTGAGGAATGAGGTGGGTGAGGTGAGTGGGTGAGGTGGGTGAGGTGAGGAATGAGGTGGGTGAGTTGAGAGGGGTGGGTGAGGTGAGTGAGGTGAGTGGGTGAGGTGGGTGAGGTGGATGAGGTGAGGAATGAGGTGGGTGAGGTGGGTGAGGTGAGAGGGGTGGGTGAGGAATGAGGTGGGTGAGGTGAGTGGGTGAGGTGGGTGAGGTGAGGAATGAGGTGGGTGAGGTGAGAGGGGTGGGTGAGGTGAGTGAGGTGAGTGGGTGAGGTGGGTGAGGTGGATGAGGTGAGGAATGAGGTGGGTGAGGTGGGTGAGGTGAGAGGGGTGGGTGAGGAATGAGGTGGGTGAGGTGAGTGGGTGAGGTGGGTGAGGTGAGGAATGAGGTGGGTGAGTTGAGAGGGGTGGGTGAGGTGAGTGAGGTGAGTGGGTGAGGTGGGTGAGGTGGATGAGGTGAGGAATGAGGTGGGTGAGGTGGGTGAGGTGAGAGGGGTGGGTGAGGAATGAGGTGGGTGAGGTGAGTGGGTGAGGTGGGTGAGGTGAGGAATGAGGTGGGTGAGGTGAGAGGGGTGGGTGAGGTGAGTGAGGTGAGTGGGTGAGGTGGGTGAGGTGGATGAGGTGAGGAATGAGGTGGGTGAGGTGGCTGAGGTGAGAGGGGTGGGTGAGGAATGAGGTGGGTGAGGTGAGTGGGTGAGGTGGGTGAGGTGAGGAATGAGGTGGGTGAGGTGAGAGGGGTGGGTGAGGTGAGTGAGGTGAGTGGGTGAGGTGGGTGAGGTGGATGAGGTGAGGAATGAGGTGGGTGAGGTGGGTGAGGTGAGAGGGGTGGGTGAGGAATGAGGTGGGTGAGGTGAGTGGGTGAGGTGGGTGAGGTGAGGAATGAGGTGGGTGAGTTGAGAGGGGTGGGTGAGGTGAGTGAGTGAGGTGAGTGGGTGAGGTGGATGAGGTGAGGAATGAGGTGGGTGAGGTGGGTGAGGTGAGAGGGGTGGGTGAGGAATGAGGTGGGTGAGGTGAGTGGGTGAGGTGGGTGAGGTGAGGAATGAGGTGGGTGAGTTGAGAGGGGTGGGTGAGGTGAGTGAGGTGAGTGGGTGAGGTGGGTGAGGTGGATGAGGTGAGGAATGAGGTGGGTGAGGTGGGTGAGGTGAGAGGGGTGGGTGAGGAATGAGGTGGGTGAGGTGAGTGGGTGAGGTGGGTGAGGTGAGGAATGAGGTGGGTGAGGTGAGAGGGGTGGGTGAGGTGAGTGAGGTGAGTGGGTGAGGTGGGTGAGGTGGATGAGGTGAGGAATGAGGTGGGTGAGGTGGGTGAGGTGAGAGGGGTGGGTGAGGAATGAGGTGGGTGAGGTGAGTGGGTGAGGTGGGTGAGGTGAGGAATGAGGTGGGTGAGGTGAGAGGGGTGGGTGAGGTGAGTGAGGTGAGTGGGTGAGGTGGGTGAGGTGGATGAGGTGAGGAATGAGGTGGGTGAGGTGGGTGAGGTGAGAGGGGTGGGTGAGGAATGAGGTGGGTGAGGTGAGTGGGTGAGGTGGGTGAGGTGAGGAATGAGGTGGGTGAGTTGAGAGGGGTGGGTGAGGTGAGTGAGTGAGGTGAGTGGGTGAGGTGGATGAGGTGAGGAATGAGGTGGGTGAGTTGAGCGAGTGTGGACCAGTTCCCACGTGTGGTGGAGGAATCGGCGAGCGACGCTCACGGCAACGGTAGCCATGGCAGCAGCGCCGGTGGGCGAACGAGCCGCAGTGATGCCGGCTTCATACGGGGACTCCTCCACTTACGAACAGTTGTGTTCTGTCCGTAAGTCGAAGTGTTCGTAAGTCCAACTTTACTCCTGCCGATTCCAAACGCGTTGTACGGCGTGTACACTAAACACGGGGAATGGATTTAAAAGTTGCATAATCTCTCCTGTAGATGTAGATGCCACTGGTTCTTCACGTTCCGTAGATGTAAATGCCACTGGTTATTCACGTTTTGTAGATGTAGATGCCACTGGTTCTTCACGCTCTGTACATGTAGATGTCACTGGTTCTTCACGCTCTGTAGATGTAGATGCCACTGGTTATTCACGTTCTGTAGATGTAGATGCCACTGATGCTTCACGTTCTGTACATGTAGATTGCACTGGTTCTTCACGTTCCGTAGATGTAGATGCCACTGGTTCTTCATGTTCTGTAGATGTAGATGCCACTGGTTCTTCACGTTCTGTAGATGTAGATGCCACTGGTTCTTCATGTTCTGTAGATGTAGATGCCACTGGTTCTTCACGTTCTGTAGATGTGGATGCCACTGGTTCTTCACGTTCTGTAGATGTAGATGCCACTGGTTCTTCATGTTCTGTAGATGTAGATGCCACTGGTTCTTCACGTTCCGTAGATGTAGATGCCACTGGTTCTTCATGTTCTGTAGATGTAGATGCCACTGGTTCTTCACGTTCTGTAGATGTAGATGCCACTGGTTCTTCATGTTCTGTAGATGTAGATGCCACTGGTTCTTCACGTTCTGTAGATGTAGATGCCACTGGTTTTTCACGTTCTGTAGATGTAGATGCCACTGGTTCTTCATGTTCTGTAGATGTAGATGCCACTGGTTTTTCACGTTCTGTAGATGTAGATGCCACTGGTTCTTCACGTTCTGCAGATGTAGATGCCACTGGTTCTTCACGTTCTGCAGATGTAATTGCCACTGGTTCTTCACGTTCCGTAGATGTAGAGGCCACCGCCGCCATCTATTGAGCGGCGGTTGAACTTACGACTCTTCGTCCGAACAGGCAACTGGACATCGGGACAGGTTTGTGCGTACTACTCTGAAAGTTCGTAAGTCGAAAGTTCGCAAGTCGGATGAGTCCCTGTAACGATCTGGCGATGCTGGGCTGCCGTTGGCAGTGATAACGCAAGTAACAGTTACAGTCATACCTCGATATGCGGTTATTCGATAAACGAAGTCTCCGAACTTTGGATTTCTTTAAACTGTTTTTTTACATAGAAAACTAAATTAAAGCAATATAATAAATATATACACTACATTTAATAATTCATCGATCTATAGTACTGTTATAAATAAAAACAAAATTAGGTTTCTTTGCTGTTTCTTTTATTCGTGCCATTTTTTACTTTAATACTATACAGTATAAACGATAATATTATTTTCAATATAAATTGTCATT